AGCAAACCCTGCGCCATCACACCCACCCCACATACAGTGACCCTCCAGACCTGTCACTGGGTTTCTGAGGCCCAGCTTTCTCCCATGGAGTGGAAGGTAGATTCAAACTGCCAATCTTTCAGTAAGTAGCTTACAATTCATTTAAGCCCCATGCCTCCAGGGCTCTTCATTAAGAGATAAGATACTTTCAATTAGTAATAGAGTCTCAATTCTGAAACAGTGATGGGTAACCATTGTCAGGAAAGGATTTAATGTCACGGAACTCTACGTATGAAGGTTACTGAAAGAGAAACTGTTATATCAACTATATGTTGACTTTTAAAAAAATAACCATGCTCTCTCTCACTGCCTCACCTAGGGGGAACAAGCTTCTCTCTTCAGCGCCCTCTCTCACTTCCACCTGCTTCTCCGTCTCACCCTAGAAACATCACCGTAACAAGCCTCTGAAAGCAGGAAGCTGTGCAGAAGCTGGGCTTCTGCGCTCGGCACCACTGCTGTCTGGGGCAGGGATCCTGGGTTGGAGGGTGTAGAGCATTCCTGACCTCCAGCTAGCAGTGCCACTTCATTCCACACATACACCCAGCAGTGTCCCCAGATGGGTACCCCAAGGGACCAGGATCACCCCTGGGAAAGAAGCAGAGATGGGAAAATGGCACCTACCAAAAGACACTCAGGGGTTTTCCTGAGATTCATTCAGGTGCCTGTCAGTGTATATGTGGCCATCTGAGAACCAGGGAAAATGAGCAGCGACCACAAGAATGCCGTGTGTGTGCGCGCGTGTGTGTGTGTGTGTGTGTGTGTGCGTGCGCACGCACGTGCATGTGCACATACATACATAAATACATACAATAAAAGCTGTGTGAAGTGAGTACTTCTCAAAGAAGGAAAACTCAAACACCTTCCATTCAAATGAGCATCAAAAGTCTGGCAAGATCTAAACAAGCGAGGCAGCTCCATCAAGATCTGGTTCTCATAGCTTTCTCATCATCGCTGTGTGCGAAGTCACCTTCTCTTGTCCCGCAGGCTTTTTCTGTTTACTTTTCCCAGGTTTTACAGGGGGCCTGCCCCTGCCTGCCCCCCACTGTGGACATGGGGCCGGATCCCTCTCCGGGCTGGGACATCCGGTGTTCAGCGGGGGCGCTGAGCTGCATCCCTGGTCTCCACCCACTCATGCCAGTAAAGCTCCTCCCCATGTGGTGACAAGCACAAATGTTCTCTAGACATCCCCACTGTCCCCTGGGGATGGAGTCATCCTGGGAGGACCACTGCCAGGCAACACTGCTGGTTCACACGGTGAGACTCAGTGCCAGGCCTGACAGATCGCCTTCTGTAGGTTCGAGCCCACCCTATTCTAAGGCAGAGGGAAGCCGGGCAAGGTGGTGGCTCCTTAAGAGAAGCCCACAGATAGATGGACATGTGTGTGGTCAGCACCAATCAAGGTGGTGAAGAACCAAAAGAAGATACTATAGAAAAGTGGGGTCCAGAGGTGTAGCCCACTGCACAGCTCACTACAGGGGTGCTCCCTGCAGAGCCCAAAGGCCACTCCTGCCGAGGGCTGGCTGGACAGTGATTCTCCAGACCTGGGCCTCACTCAGGATGCGGCAACACATCCCAAATGGATCCTAACAGCCATCCTGCACTGTGTTGTCCAGGTTTCACAGCTGCTCTTCTCACAGATGTGAACCTGGGTCCTCGTGCTTTCCTGAGGTTGGTCAGGAGGCCTCTCTGGCCCCGCTAGCTGGGAGGTACCCTGGACAGGCCACAACACTGGGTGCTACGGTCCTAGCAGCTGTGGAAGGAGGCAAGCGCAGCTTCCAGAGACTCCAGAGACTCGTCTGTATGAGGGAACAAAGGAACCAGAAGTCTGCCAAGACCTGGGGCAAGAAAGACCACGTTAGGATCCAAGCTTGTTGCTAAGTGCCGCCAAGTCAGTGAACAAAGCCATGTGACACAGAACTGAGCCTTGGTGGTTCAAAGCCACCTGTCACTAGGCAGGAAAATGAAGCCAGTAAAAACTACAGCCTTGGATACCTGGGGCAGTTACAGTCTGTTACATGGGGTCAACTGTGGGTTGGAATTAGCTCAAGGACAAGTTTTAGGGTTTAATCCTTATGAGAGCAGACTGCTAGGTTTTTGTCATGTGAAGCTACAAGGCATGTTCAACCCACTGACCTTCCAGTCATGCCACTAGTGCCACCAGGCCTCCCAAGGACCCAAGCTGGTGGGCAGCATTCCAGGTGCCTCTGGCATGGACACGAGGGTCTGAAACTGGCAAAAACCAAAACCAAAGCTGCTGCCACTGATGTTGAGTCAACAGCATGCCGCAAGGACAGATGAGAGCGGTCCCGGCCAGTCCCCTGCTTTAGGAAGCAGACTGCTTCATCTTCCGACACTGAACCCCGTGGGTTCAACTAACTAACTAACCCAGTTAGTTAAACGACTAACCTGTGATCAGCAGGCGAATGTATTCCCCACAGCGCCACCAGAGAGCTTTCTCTGCCGTCTGCCAGACAACTTTTGGTTCAGTGCCAGGTCATTCATTCTCCTCCAGGAGAAAAAGGGGAGTACAGCCGGTTCAGCATCAGTCCTAAAATGCCTCAGGAGGAAGTCTCTACCATCGGGGTATCCTGAGACACACCCTACGTACCTACATCCCTTGACAACTACTTTCGGTCATTTCACCCTTCTGTAAGGGGAAAAGAGACCAGCTGTTCACTGCAGAAGCCTCCTTTTTTTTTTTCAAAACTCCCTGGGTGGGAAATTGTTAATGTGCTTTGCTGCTATTGGAGAGACTGAAGGTTCAAGTCCACCCAGATGTGCCCTGGAAGGCCGGGTAGTCTGCTCTCAGCAAGTTCCGTACTGCACACTCTACAGAGCAGAGACCCGCAGTCAGAGAGAGAACTGGACTGGTAGCTTTAGCTGCTTCCATAAGCCAGATGAACTGGACGGTACATTCTTTATTGTCATTACAGAACATCCTGATCAAGACATCTATAAATAAACAAATTATCAAATGAGGGGGGGGAAAATTTCAAAATCTTACTGACTGCAGAATTTCTGGTCCTACTGAGGCTAGAGGTAGCTCTGGTAGCCAAGTGGTAAGAAGTTGTGCTGCAATCCTAAAGACACGGGGTTCTAGACCACCAGCTGGGAGAAACGTGGGTGATCTCCATGCAATTTACTGCCTTTGAAAAGGGGCTGGAGGATCAGGTATAGGTCGGTTGTGGCTCCACGGCACACAACAACAACTGAGATTAGAGGAGGCTCTGAATCTATCACTCTGAGAACACTCTGAAACTCTCCAACATCTTCCAATTGCTGAGAAAAATCTTCACACCTTCAACCGAAACAAGTGTTTGGCTAAATTACTCAAGAGAGTTCACCAGGAGCGTTGTCGTCTTTTAAAGTATTGCCTGCGCTGCAGGGTCTGAGTTCACGGTGAAATAAACACTATGAGAGGAGGCCTGGAGAGCGGTGGCCCATCATGAGGCACCCCTAGGCTGGACTGCACACAGTGATGGGGGACTACACATCCTATGGCATGTGTTTTGACCAAAATGATATGGGGGGAGGGGACCAAAACCCAAAAGCCTTAATGGGACACAGTTTCACCTGACAGACAGACCTGGGTCACAGCTCCACACCTAACACTCCACCTGGGAGATCAGAACTCCAGGAAGCTGGGACTCCAGAAAATACCAACACAATTCTGCATTTGCCCAGTTTTCTGAGAAAAAAAAAAAAGGGGGTCCACAGCTGTCACCATATATTTGTAAACAATGAGTTTCAGGGAGCTCTGGTGGCCTAGTGGCAAGAAGCTGCACTGCAATCCCAGAAGTATGTGGTTCGAATCCACCAGATGCTCCGCTGGAGAAAGAGGGACAATCTCTCCTCCTGGACCACTCAGGTCACACACACAAAAAATAATAAAATTAGAATTTAAAAAAAAGAAGGCGAGCTCTGGTGGCCTAGTGGCAAGAAACTGCACTGCAATCCCAAAGGTGTGCGGTTCAAATCCACCAGATGTTCTGCTGGAGAAGGAGGGACAATGGCCTCCTGTACCAATCAGATCTGATTTGATGGTACACACATTAAAAAATTTTTTAAAAAAGTTTCAAAAAACCCCAATCTCTCTCTCTCTCTCTCTCTCTCTCTCTCACACTCTCACACACACACACACACACACAGACACCCTTAATTAATCAACAAACCACTATAATGCCTGTCACCTGTTGACAGGTGCCTGGAACACAGACTTGCACCTCCAGGAACTGAACCTCGATCCCGATCCCACCTGGATGGGCCGTGCCCCCTGGATTCTCTGTCCATGACAGTAGGGACAGGAAGATTGGCCCTGAGGTCCAGATGGACCTCAGCCCACCACCATGAGTGAGGGACACTTCTCGATGAGCCCTGTGGCTCAAGGGGTTAAGGGCCTGCCAAGTAACCAAAGCCCACCCAGCAGCCCCGCGGAAGAATGACTTGGCGATCTGCGATCACCAATGACAGCCGAGACTGGAACGCGGCGGGTTCGGGTCTGCTGTCCAGACCTCCACCACCGGGTGTGCCTTCTCCCGGGAAGGTGGACACTGGCCACTGGCCGGCGGTGGACGAGGCTGGGGACCGTCCTTGCCTCTGGGGAGAGGGACCGGATGTCCGAGCGGCGGAGCGGGGGCCTGAACTTCATTCAAGAACGGTTTCTAAACGCGACCCCACCGATCTGTACAAACTGGTGGCCTCTGGCCGGGACGCCCCCTTCTCCCATCGCCCCCAGCCCGGGGAGGGTCTCCGACTCCGCACACCTCGGGGTGCAGCGCCGCTCCCCGTCTTCTGAGCCGGCTCCGCGGCTCGCGTCCCCATGGCGACAGGGCCCCCTCGTAACCCCCGCTCCTCCCGGGCACCCCGACCCGAAAAGGGACACGTGCCAACGCCCCCCCTCCCGAGTCCTCCCTCCCCCGCCCCGCCGACCCCGGACACCCCCCCGCTCGGCCTCCACTCACCTGGCTCGCCTTGTAGAACTGCTTCTTCAGCCCCGCTACCGACATGCTGCCTCCCGCCGCCGCCACCGCCGGGCCTCGCGCCTGGACACAGCGACCTGGACCTGGAGCGACCTGGGCCGAACG